CTTGCTTTAAAACGAGCTTTCAAACCATGTAAAATGTCAAAAGGTTTTAAAAAATTACATTAAGTAACGACATAACTGTACAAAAGCTACAAAAAAATTTTTTGAATTTTTACCAAGTCTATTTTATATGATTTTACGAGGTCAGATCCACTACCTTGATGCACTTTAAAAAGTAAAAAAACTCACAACTATTCGAGAAAATGAAAAATTCTTATATGTGTGTTAAAATTTAGTGGTAGTAACAGTAATCAAGTGATTGGAAATGCTAAAAAAATTCGTCTAAGTGTGTGAATTGAATCGTGCCATTCGTTTACGCTTGTAGCATTTATACTTAAACAGTCTTATGTAGATATGGCGCGCGTATACGAAAAGGTGAACTGCACGTGTAGGTGTAACACTTGGTTAGAAATCAGGCATTTAATTAGATAGTAGAATATACCTTGTGTATGTATTTTATATTGAAGAATCATATTTTTTCGCGAAAACGTGATTAAATTTACAATGTAAGCAGGGAAAAAACAGACTTGGAAGAGTATGGATTCACAAGGCAACAAAAGTATTATAGAGAATAGAGTATTACCATAAGATTTGCACAATTTGGTGATTCATACTCCTTATACTGCATTTACTTTTGTATGAAGGCAAGTTTAAATTTTGAAAAATTTTTTTGTAAAAAATATCGATGAAAGAAACAACTGTACCGTCAGAAACTAGAAAAATAGTCAACGACAAACGTCTAAACATATTGTTATCGATTCCAAAAATCGACAGTATCGACAAGCGTGTCTAAAGAGAGCTTATTTATACCAGGCCAAGTGGCGCAAAGCAGTTTGTCAAGGAACAAACTTATGAAAATTTTACTATTCCGTAAGAATGCAAATAATCCACAATCCTTCAGATTTTTATAAAAATGCGAGCAAAAATCTACGATACAACGTATATTAATATATGATGATATATATTAAAGGCGAGAAACAGGAACCTTACTATTGTAAGTTTTTCTATGAAAAATAAGAGCAAGCGATTAATTAAATTATATTGCTTTGTCTCCCCTTACTGTTTTACCTGTCTATACATCATTATTGCTGTAAAACTGG